TATAATGAGATAAAAAGTTTAATCATAGATAAGGTATCAGGTGAACTAGACTAGTTTTTTTTGGACATGTAACACCTTAAGGCCGAAATTTTATCTCAAGCAAATTATCCGCAACGCACTATTTGCCAATTCTGCACTGCGATAACTTTACATTATCAAATCGACTACAGTACACTTTGCATCATACCGCGAAACCTTTCTCGGTAAACAATCCATCGCTGGTCTCTCCCAAAGGCACCTCCTTATCTGTGCATTCTTAACAATTTTCGCCTATTAGTCATCGAGTAACTGCTGGAATTCTATTTATATTCTCTCCAAACTCTTCTAATATAATTCTTGTTGAGTTAGCAATGGTGCAGCTGAACAATATTGTGATAAGTCATCCACGACCCGCTTCTTATCACTTCTTCATGTCGCGATCAATATCTATTCTTCTACTGGCACTTTTCGTGGACGTTCATGCTAGCGAACACATACTACGGTTAGAAGGTGAAGCATTTTCTAGTAATTTCTGCTGTTTCTGTTATAGTAGCTTCTTCTAAGCACTGTCGCTACAAATTTCCCCCTTTTACACATCTTTAAGGATCTTCTGTAGCTCCAGATCCTCCAGCAAACGCAGTACTTATCTCCATACCAGTGAATTCGAGTGTGGTCCTAAAATGTGAGAAAACAGCGGGTTTACCTAAATCTCAATGGTTACACAATGGAAATGATTTGGATTTGGAAGTTGTACGGTTGCTAGACGACGAGTAAGTACTCAATTTTTTGGAAAATCCTTCTTTTATTCCTATGCTCGTTGCTTCCAGACATGCTTCATTAATTATCGACGTGTATTCCACAAAATATCATGATGGAGTTTACGAGTGCTATGCGGTGAGTTAAGGGAACTATATCTTAAGTCAAGTAAGACAAATAGTGTCTTAAACCTTAAAACCCAATTTTCTACTGTACAATTAGAAAATCATACAAAGTGAGTTGTTAACGCTGGGAAAATAGGAAGGAGCGTTTAATCCTTCTTCTAATAACTTACTATTTAACTTTATTTTGCCTGCACAAGTTTACAAAAGCTCGCGGCTATAGTGCTCGCCATAAAAAGGCTACAAAATACATTGTTAACTTTATACTA